CCACCCAACTTGGTGTCGTCTGCAAAATTCCCCTTGCTATAAACCAATGGATACAGGAGATGGTATCTGCCCATGTTCTTGCAACACCAGACGCTCAAGTGTGCGTTTGACATCTGCTTTCAAAGTCAAGTAGAGGGACAAGGGCCATACAAGACAGACCCTATGGATGAAGTAGGGAACAGGGCTCCCTACAGCCTTGGTGCTGATGCTCACCAGACTTATACATGAGGAAGTCCTCATAGACAATAAAGGCTCCTTCCACTGGGCCATTCTTGTAGATCTCAGCCATGATTTCCTTCTCACTGTGAGGGACACCATAGGATGTAATGCCTAGGAAGAAAAAAAGTCCCACCATTAGCACGGCATTGTCAGGCCACACAGGTCTTGGGACAGCTGGACAGTGACTGCTTGGTGTGCCTGTGCCAGAAGCCTACTCCACTTACAGGTTAAATTCAAACCCAGCTGCTTCAGAGGCACTGACACTGCCAGGCAGGGAAAGCGGGCTCCAACCATCCCTCTTCCATTTAACTGAAGAGTCCTATTCTGTACCCGAAGACCTATTCCAGGCAGCTTCAGTGGGAAGGGAAGTTTTCCCCTTGTACATCCTCACTTCCAAAACAAACCAAGTTACTCAAGGCTAAGACAAATCTCCAAGAAACAGCCAGACTCTCCTACAGGTATAGTGCTGGCTACCACCAAGGAGTAGGAAGGAGGTGGCTTTGAGACCAGACTCCCCCAGGGCTCAGCACCATGCTCTTCAACCCAGGCATGTGCACCACGTGGGACTGAGATCAGTTCCCCCATCTCAGCTGAGTCTCAGCAAATACCAACTGTGCATCTGCCAGGCTTGCTCCAGGACCACCCATCCTGAGGGCACAGAAAAGAGGCACCATAAAACAGCTTAGAAAGAGGTCCAACCCCACTGAGCTACCACTAGGAACAGCTCTGGAGCCACTTTGCATCAAGCAGCAGGCAAGGCCACCTCTCTTACCGTAGTGCTTGTCCTCCTTGTACGAGGGCGAGTAGCCGGGTTCGCAGTGCCGGCTGCACCTGGGGGTTTCCCCGCCTTCGCCGGTGCATGGTGGCCGGGAGCCATTGACGTGGTGCTCACAGGGTGGGATGGAGTAGGGACGGCAGCCTGTTGAAGACAGAGATGGCATGAACTGTCTGTCCCCAAGCACCCCTGTCACCAACAGCCATGCTGGAGAAGGTACCAGATGCCCCAAGTAAAGGTATGACCTTTCTGACCCAGAAGCCCCAGAGCTTAGTGGGGTGCAAGCAAGAGTAAGTCTGCCAGTGCCATAGATGAACAATCCCTGCATCAGCAAGGGCTTTCCCTTCTGGATCTGCTTCCCAACCCCTCCCTTCTGACAAGGGGATGGAAAAGATGGAAACATGAACCAACCTATGGCCATGCTTGGAAGAGGCAGAGATTTCCACTCCGGAAGCTGCTTTTTGAAGGGGAAATATGTCAGGATGACTCCTGCCCTCATCCAAAGTGTATTGAGCTGGTCCAAAACCAGCAGCAACAAAAAAATTCACAGCCTGATTAAAAAATTCCTGCTATGAGCCTTGTGGTGTTGTTAAGTCTGACTACTGTGCTCCCTTCCTGGATGGGTCTCCTGCCACTAGGTGCTGCTTGGGGATACCTGTCCCAAAGCGGTGACCAGAAGGAGCCATGGGGACAGGAGCCACCCACTGGGATAGCAGAGGTGTTTGAGCCCAGACCTGAAGGAGGGAGCAACCATAAGGATGCAGACCAGAAGAGAAGCACCCTGAAGCACATGAACCTGTAACCGAGCAGAGATGCTTCTCTTTGCTTTCACAAGGGTATCTGCCAGGACTTACCCACATGGGAATCGTAGAGACCCCCGGACACGAGGCCCCTCTCTGTCCAGTACCTCCATGCACCAGAGGGGTAACCACCATTGCACCTGGAAAAAGAGGCAGCAGTTCCAGCTCCAGCCTGCTCAGAGCCATCCCCTTTTGGGGGACGTGGGGGAAACGGAGCCAGCTTTGGCTGGCTGAAGGGAAGCTTTCAGCACGTTGAACCTTTTTAAGTCTGTCCCTGCCTTCCCCAGGATTTCTGGGCCTCGAGACACCAAAGCCTTGGGGCAAGAAGGAGCTAAGAGCACCCATGCCTCCAGATCCCAAAGCAGTGGTGCCTCCGTACCAGATCCTCGGTCAGCCTCTGCCACCAGGAGCAGCAGAAGCCACACAACGTGGAGACCCAACTCCCCACCCTGCTCTCAAGAACTGCAAAAGCCACGGGCAAAAGGCTTGTGCCTGAAAACCAAGGCTTTGGGGCTATTAAAAGATCCTTCCTTTGGCTTAGGCAGCTGCCAACTATGTATGGGAAAGTATCGTTATGTGGTTGCCCTCCCTCCACCAACCATCACCATCCACTACTGCTGGGGCCAGGATGTGGACTTTTAGTCCACGCTAACTCCAGCATCTACAATGCAAACCACTGGTGGGACTTCCTGCTCTGTAGGGAGACTCCTGCTCCTCCCACCCACCTTTTAAGTGCACAAGAACCAAAAGCAGCTCACCCCATGCCGCACTCGAAGCCACAGCACGACAGCAAGTCCTCCGCCGAGACCTCCACGCTCACCTTGGCATTCGTGTGAACGCAGATTCTGTCCGAAATCGCTTCTACAGCACCGAAAGCCTGTGGGCAGTCCCCAAAACATAAAGGAAGACCGTTAGAGCTGGCCAGGGGAGAGAAACCAGGAAACCAGAAACCTGGCTGGGAGAAGCCCACTGAGAAGCTCAGACACTGCAGGATCCCCCGTGTCCCTCCATTTATGCAGTTCAGTAGCAAACTCAACGGCATTTTTTTTTTCAGCAAACTCTGTGTCAACATGACCTAAAACCACCCATGCTCTTACCCAGCAAGAGCCACAAGAGCCCTGGTCTCTTATCTCATTGATGGTAGGACAGTTAGGCCACTGCGTCCGTGAGTCAAAGTTATCGGGCAGCTCCATGTCTGCAGCAAAATCTACCCTGCAAGTGAGAAGAGGGAAGTCCTGTTATAGAAACACCAGTGTAATACGACTGGGTGCACAGGGCTCTCTCCAACCTCCTCCGAAGGTGAGCTGGAGGACGAGCGCACTTGTTGTTTGCTTACTGAAGGAGGACAAATACTTCTGAAGTCCTCAGACCAGGTCAGCAGCTCCTCCAGTGTTTTGAGTTTCGAGGAGTACAAGTTACACGACTGCTGAAATATCTCGCAGGACAGAGAATGGATGTTCCCCCCATGCATAATCCCCTGCTTAACTCCACGCAAGATGCCCAGCAAGCTGCACCCTGGGGAACCCTGCTCACAGCGTGCCAGGGGAGACCCTCACCCACTCCAGACACACTACGAGCATCCACACAAGCTTTTACAGGGCCCTCATCATCTTCTCACCTCTCAGGGAGCTTGGGCCCACCCAGGAAGGTGCCACAGAGCTTCTTCACATAGCTCATGTCAGTGTTGTGGAAGTTGTGCCCTGCCTGGGAAGAGACATGGAGAAATGGGACATGACTCTCCACAGCCATCAAGTGCATTCCTGGGACCAGCGTGGTGCTCCAGATCTCCCTCAAACCCAACTGGTATCTGACACTTGTTTTAAAACCCCGGGGACAAAAGCCAAACTACATAAGGACACAGAACAACACAGCCCCTTCCAGGATCAGCGCATCATGACCAGTAAGCTAAGGTCTGGCTCCAGGCTTTGGCCACAGCAGCCTGGCCGATGTGGGTTTGGCCAGGTCACCAATACGGCTTGACACTTGTTGCCTGTTCCCAGCCTCCCACAGAGCCTCCCCTTCCTCTCGGCACTGCTCCTTGCCTAGGAGTTCATCAGTGCTCTGCTCCAAAGAGAAGCTGCAGAGTCACTGTCACCACAGGAATCTCTGACAGCATCAACTCATTGGAGAAGTCAACTGGGACCAAAGCTGGTTTGATGCAACCACAGTGGTGAGACTCCCAAAGCTCAGCTATTAAATCCCACAAAGTCAAGCAATCCATCAAAAAAAAAAAAAAAAAAAACCAACCACAAAACACCAAAAAAACCAAAAAAGCAACCCGGTACTCACCTTCCAGGTGGTGTTAAGCTTGTTTATGTGGTTGACCAAGTCACTGGAGAGAGGAGGGTAGTAAGGAATGCTGCGAGCATTGGCGAAGGCAACCAGGACACACAGGATGGACACAGACGGCCACATCTTGGCTAGAGAACGGGATACTCCACCTGCAGCCAGATTTGGGCATCATTGGAAACCTTCCCAAGGCAGGCTCGGACTGCGAGCGAGGGCTTGGCAGGAGGACTGCCGCAGCAACACGTGGAAGGATAAAACACGTGGCTGCATAAAGTCCCTCCCAATCCCGATTTACCCCAAAGGTCAGGAGAGACGCAGGAGCGGACTAATAACCCCCTTCCTCAGAAGACATCAGACAAGGCAACCCTGTTTGTCAACCACTGCAGGATTAGTAGCAGCAGGAAAATATTTTTTGAAGCAGACTTAAGGGATTTGGAGGGTATTAAAAGCTGTCTTTACTTCCACAATACTGGAGAAAAGGACTAGGAGAAGGAATAGGTGACTCCCCTCACCATGGCAAACCACAGGCAGGGCTGCAGCCCCAGGGACTTGCTAGCCCCTGCCCTCGTGCACTGCTCTTCCCTTTGAAGATATCGCTCCAAATCACATTTTGGGGCTTTACGGCCTCATTTTGGCCAGACCATTGCCCTGGGGACCTCAATTGGGATCACAGCCCCAAGGTAGGGACCCCCTGCCCGTGCAGAGGGGGTCTGCGCCCATCAGAGCTGCCCGTGCTCCCCTTCCACCGGGGCTTCTCACGAGGGAGGTTGTGGAGCTGCATCCCTTGGTGCAGGGCACCGGGAAAGTCCCAATTTGGGGAACAGAGACACGGGAGAAATCCGGGAGCACGGCAAGAGTGGACCACAGCCTCCCACGTGGGAGCACATGCATCACCCTGCCCAAAGATGCTCCAGGGCTCGGTGGTTTCTCTGTTCTCCTGCCTCCTTTAACCTAATTCACATTAAATTACCCAACTGCAGTTTAAGCCCCGTCGCCAGCAGCCACCGCTTGCTCCGCGTCCCCACGCCTGACGCAGGCACGCAGATGGGCCACGAGCTGCTCAACCTCTGCAAACACACCAAGGCACCCTCTTCCTCCTCCAAAACCTCCCAGCTCCCCTTCTACCGACCCCACACCCACCCCGACGAGCGTCCCAAGACCTCGGATACTCCACGGCAGTCCCAACAGCGGAGGTATTTAGACTCTAATTCCTACTCATCTCGGCGAGCTGGACGTGTAATCACCTTTGCGAGCCTGGGCTTAAGCCTTTCTAGGCAAATACACCCAAGG